GTGTTACAATATTCGTAGAAATGACAACCACAGTGTGTTAGTGTGTAGACAGTGAAATCATTTTTTCCACGATATAGCGATGCTCGACCGACCAAATTTTTTTCAGTCAATATAAGTTGCTAAAAAATATGAAAAAATTATGCATTAAGCAGTACAGGTCAAAGCATTCTTCGCTCCACTGCTGTCTCTGCTGCGCTCTTCTGCTTTCATCAGTGACCACATTTCACAACTATGATTATATAATTGTAAGATTCAGGTGTTATTTTAATGAAATGGTAAATTACGGCCGTCAGAAGGCCGTACCGAATCGTTATCTTAAAAGAAATGGACGATTCAGCAAAATCAAAATGTGGAACGGCCGGAATCAGAAAGTTAAAATTTGAAGGGTGGGATAAGTTTGTTAAAATAATTTGCGGTTGTTGGTAGGCCGAGCTGTAATATCTCATTCAAATAAGTGGGGGCATACCACAAGTACAAGATTCAAGTGTTATTTCCATGAAATGATAAACTGGGGCCGTCAGAAGGCCGAATCGAATCGTAATCTTAAAAAAAGCGGACGATTCAGCGAAATCAAAATGTGGAACGGCCGGAGTCAGAAAGCTAAAATTTGAAGGGTGGGATAAATTTGTTAAAATAATTTGCGGTCATTGGTAGGCCGAACCGTAATACCTCATTCAAATGAGTGGCGGCAAAAGCACAAATTTAAAAAAAGACGGCCAATAACCAACCATATCTGAATTCACAGCTGTGAGTGGAGAATGTGAAGAAACCGGTGAAATGTCCAGCGGTGCTGCAGTTGTGGCCAATGGTTCATTCCAGCGGACATTCTTCGGCGGCAGCGTTCGGTTATTCTGTTCTGTTGGTCTACCGTTCAAACAGACAACATCACTACCACTATCACTGTACATATCCGGATTATCCGCAAAAGTTACTTGACGTGCCCGACCGGAAGCATCGTTTGCTCGAATATCATCATTGGCCTAAATTTGCAACTCATATTAATTACAATTTGCGCTAATTAAGTGCAAATATTGTATTAAATGACAAGAGAAAATAATGAAGTAGAAAAGATGAAGAATGAAAGAAATCGAAGAAGCCCATGTAGCACGGGTGTCAGATAAGCCACATGTGCCACATGAACAGCCCTACTAATGTCTTTGAAGTGCCCTAAGTCTTGATGCAAGTGCAAATCGAAAGTCAATTTAGGCATAGGATTTTCCATATGAACAATAAATATTCTAATAAAATTCCAGCCACTTCTTCCCCGCTAGTTTTCGGATTAGCACAGTGTCA